TCCTGCCTCAGCCTCCCAAGTGCTGGGATTGCAGGCGTGCACCACCACACCCAGCCCATGCTAGCACTTTTGATTTCTTCTTGGGTTAGTTTTGGTCACTTAAGTTTTTCTAGGAAGCGTCCATCTCCTCTAGCTCCGCAGGGTGCTGCTGTCCAGAGCCAACACACTGCATCTTCTTCCCTGCTCGGTAGCACCCTGCAGAGCTACAGACTACTTCTAAGCTACTTCTACTTTGTGTTTCTCACATGTACGGAATGGATGCGGCAGAGTCTTCAAGGTGGCAATCAGAGAAATGCATGAAGGTACTAAGGGAAATTTAAGGTTCCGCTCTGCAATTATTCAATGTCCAACCCTTCTCTATAGTATTTTAGAAAACTAGAGCCTTCTAATAAAGAATTTGTTAACATTGTGGCCGATCTACACGACCATAGTGTTCTAAGAAAACAGTCTCAAATACACATGCTCACAAGAGCTGCTTAAAACAGGTTTTAAGTGAACAATGAATCGAGCACTCAACTACAACCAGAGTGCTGTTGCCTCTGGCTAAAAGACACAGTTCTATCTTTGTGAATGGACTTTCAATGTTCTTCAAGACCAAACTGACAGGAAACTGAGTGAGGATCTAGTTTATACTGTATTAAAATGATGTCTGCTACCAGTCATTTCTAAATGGATTTCTGCAAAAGACAAAACTAGTTGATTTGCTACCTTGAGCATGATAGCACATGTATGTAATCGCAGCACTTGGGAGGCTGAGGCAGGAGAACCATCATGAATAGGAGGCCCTGTCTCAAAAAACAAAACCAAACCAGTAAAACTAGTTAATTTGCTCAACATGATAAAGTGAGCCCCAAATCAACCAGCTATAGGTGTCCTTAAATCCAACCTTGTGGGACAATATCAATGAGGTCATCACATGGCTTTTAAATATGACTGTCAGCCTTCTCTGAGGTGGAGATCATTTGACATGATTTATGTGGCCTAAATCGCTTAGTTTTTCCTGTATTTTAACAATTAAATTGCATAGTAAATTACAGTCATTAGCATGAAAAATGTTTTGACTGAATGTGGATCCTGTGATTAAAGCCTTCACACAGCAAGGAGTAAGTCAAGCATCAGTCAAGGAACATTCAGCAAAGCACCAAGCTTTTAACTGTTTGAAGTGGAAATGGTGTCACTGGATTCAGCTAATATCCTGCTTTCTTAACTGCCTTGCACTGCGCACCCAATTCACCACTACACACCCCTGGAGATTAGAGCACAGTGATGTCCCACAGGATCCTACGCTAAACTCTCTCAAATTGCTACGCCCTTCATGTTCACTTTGAATTTATTTTCAGTCGTCTTCCCTCCAGCTGTCACATTTTATTGTTTACCCATCTCTAGTAGAATCCTTTCCATACTTGTGATTTGCTCAGAAGCAGAAATCAAGACAAATGAACTTGTTAGAATTGGGTGTGAAGTAAAGATATGCACACTGCTGTGCACTTGGGAGGCTGAGGCAGGAGAAGATGGCTGCGAGTTCGAGGTCAGCCTGAAATACACAGCAAGACCCTCCCGAATAAATAAATAAATAAATAAATAAATAAATAAATAAATAAATAAATAAAAATAGCAGACTCTGAAGATGGGGAGCAGAGGCACTCACTTCAAAAGCATAAGCATTACGAACTTGGGTTTCTCCAGAGTGCAGTGCTGCTCCAAACGCACTGGCAATGAATGTAGTAGTCACTTTCATGTCTCTACCATGATCAAATGAAACACCAGCTGGGTGTCACCATGCACACCTATAATGTCAGCTATCTGGGTGGCTGAGGCAGGAGGATCACAAGTCCAAGGCTAGCCTGGACACTAAGACCCTGTCTCAAATTTTTTTAAAAAGGCTGGGGCTGTAGATGAGTGTACAGCACTTGCTTACTGAGCATGCTGACGTCCTGGGTTTAATCCCAAATACCACCAAATAAAGTATCTACCACAATCTCTTAAGAATCCTGATAAGGCCTGGCAGGATAGCACACGCCTGTAATCCCAGCACTCAGGAGACTGAGGCAGAAGAATAGCCACTAGTTTGAGGGTAGCCTGGACTACATGGTGAGACCCTGGCTCAAAAAAAAGAACCCCGTTAAACCAGAGTTCCTAAGTTCTTTCCAGGAGTTTCTGATGGACAACTCAGGATCCACAGGAAGGGCAGACCCATATAGAGTAGCAGCTGTCTTAACTGGCTTCCCATAAACTTACTAACAAACTAGGTTACAAAATACGGAAGTGACTCACGCAAGGCACTGAACTCAGATCTGATCACAAGTGCTGTACTTGATTACAGCTCGCTTCACTGTGCACACGCAGATACCAAACGCATGTGTCAGGCAGTACCTGTGCTGAGCAAGGCATGACTGGCTGTCCCAGGAGCAGGCATGGCGGCCCCAGCACTGTCACCCTAGGCAGGAACTCTGGAAGGCCGCCACACCTCAGGGAGCTGCAGTACTTCTCGGGGTCCCTATAGCACCCTGGGCTATAGGGTCTCCTCTCCAAGGTCCACCTGATAAGACTCCCCTGTCGGGAAGGGTACCAGTGCTTATGCAAAGGCACTAATGAAGTAACAGCTTCCTACCAACCTCACGTTTCTGAAAACTCCACACAGGAAGGAAACTAGGCACAGGTCTTTAATATATTTGAACAAAAGAAATGTGAAGGCAGTAAACATTTTTCTTTTTCAGTACTGGGGACTGAACCCTGAACCTCTGCACTGAGCTACATGCCCAGCCTTTCTGGTTCTGTTTTTTAAGACAGAGTCTTGCTAAATTGCTAAGCTGCCCAAGCTTGGTTCAAATTTGCTATGTGCCTACCTCAGCCTCCCAGAGTGCTGGGACTACAGGCATACACCACCAGGCTACCTTTTTTTTTGGTTTTTTTTTTTGGTTTTTCTCCAGTACCGGGAACCGAACTCACAACCTTGCGCTTGCCAGGCAGGCGCTTTTGCCGCTGAGCTAAATCCCCAGCCCCCAGGCTACCTTTTGTTTGTTGTGGTACTGCAGACTTAACCCAGGTCCTTCACACAGAGCTACATCCCCAGACGTTTGTTTACTTTTGGTTTTGAGACGGTCTCACTATATCACTAAAATGCCCAGGCTTGACTTGAACTTGTAGTCCTCCTGCCTCAGCCTCCCAAAGTTTGGGGATTACAGGTGTGTGCCACAACCCCTGGCTCCATTTCTTTTTTTGTATATTAACATTAACCTTTTATGAGAGAGTTTGTTTTCAATTTGTAAATTTTTTTGTGCGGGGGTGGTGTGTACCAGGAATTGAACTCAGGACCTTGCGCTTGCCAGGCAGGCACTTATGCCACTGAGTTATATATCCCCGGCCCACAATTTGTAAGTATTCTTATTTGACAAATTAAAAGGTGGTTATTTCATTTGAGACTACACATTTTTAATAAGTTTACCGCCTGTGAAATCTAACTATGGAAACCACTAGAACATGTTTTAGTTTTGATTTTTTGAGACAGTGCCTCACTATGCATCCCAGGCTGGCCTCAAACTCATGATCCTCCTCAGCCTCCTGACGCTGGGATATCAGGCATGTGCCACCACACCCTGCTGAAATGTTTAAAAGCATGTTGCTATGAGTTGTGAATGATTTTACAAAATGAAAAGCCTTTTTATAACCACAGACAAGCATATCCCAACTTTTGGTGAGAACTTTCTCCGAAGTAGTCCAACCACATGCTGAAAAAGCATTGGTTAATCCAATAGTCTGGGCTTAAAGATGCTGAATAAAAGGTCTCAGAAAAAATACTCATAGCCAAAGAAGTGAGAGCAGTGTTACATTACGTCCCCCACTGACAGGTGGGGAGAGGAAAGAGTAACAATTCTGGACAAAAGCCTTGTAGACCTTCTCCAAAAAACAAAAAACCACAGACTACATGTGTAACCCTAAAATCCTTGCTGTTGGTCATGAAAAAGCCAGGTCACACAGCAAGCCCCCTGATGTCCCACGGAGTAAGTTCCAAGTCCCCCACACATAGCACAAGCCTCCCTCGGAACGCTCGGTGACATTCGGCTGCTTACCAGGAGGACTGAACGTCCAAAGGAAATGGATTTCACCTTTAATAGACTTCCAGGAGCTAGTAATATGAGAACTGCAATGTAAAGACTTAACTGTAGGCTAAAAATTACGAATGTGTTTTAGATTCTCCAGTGAATTTATTTTGAAAACTTTTTTGTACTTCATTTTAATGGCTTAAAGAGAAAATGTTTAAATAAACATAATTTTGTTTCAGAACTCAGGTATGTTTTACTTTTAAATCAAATTGCAACAGCTGCTGAGTTTACCTGCAAGTGTTCCTGCCACCCCACCCCACTGACGATGAGCCAAGGAGCATAAACACACATGCACACCTTCTGTAAGCAAACCCTCTACAATTTTAAATAACTGTTGCTTTCTAGAACTTTTTATGTCTGGTTTATTTCTGAAATTGTGGTATTCATATTCACGAGGAACAATCTCTATACACCAAAATTTATATCTGTGACCTCTAGTAATTCTTCATGTCAACATTTTTCTTAGTACCCCTAAAAAGAGAGCTGTGGATGGAGTTCAGTGGTAGACCATCTGCCCCGTACTTGCTAGGGCCTGAGTTCCATCCCCAGTCCATTCAAAAAAAGGGGCTGCAGAAAGTCAAAAGAAGTAAACCACACAACTGATCAAAACGAAAGCTATACAAAAAATAACAATGGAGGGGAAATTTTTTAAAGTATAGACTCTGTTGAAATAGAAATATCCAAACAGTTTTGGATGCACTGCCAAAATTTAGGTTTTCTCAAGTAAAATGACAGGAAGCTGGGCAAGGTGACCCAGGCCTGTAATCCCAGCACTCAGGAGACAGAGGCAAGAGGATCAACACATGTTGAAGGCCAGCCTTGGCTACAGAGTGAGTTCAAGACCAGCCTGAATTACAAAGTGAGATCCTGTCTCAAAAATAAAAAAGTAAAAATAAATAAAATGAGAGAAATTGATTTTATTGCTGGAAGATATGTTAATTCTCTGAAGACAGAATGAGCCTTGACAATTTATTTCTACATAAATGTTTAAATATACAAAATATCAAATATAAACAGTAGTGTAGCAAGAAAATAAACCGGCAGAAATAATTATTCACCTAGTAATAATTAAGACCACCATTTCAGAGATTTTCTATACACAAAGGATGAGAAAATACTGCAAGACTTTACAGCACACACTGAATCAATCCCACATCATTCCTGTTATACTTCTTTCTTCTTCAGGATGAGTGGACCCACGTTATCTCCCGTCAGCTCGTTATGTTTATTATGGGAGCCATCACAGGCAGGAAACTAAAAGGAACAAAGAATTACAAGCGTTATTTTAAAACTATGATTAAGTAGAAATATTTGCTAAATTCTGTCACAAAGCACATTACTTGCTTAAAAGATTCATCTGAGCTTTGTGCAGTGGCAGTATCGTAGCCACTCAGGTTTATCTGAGGCACAATTACTGTTAATTGAAAAGATTCATCAGATAGCTTTCATACATTTATTTTACATCCCAATACCACATCCTGGAACCACAGCAAATCTAATCTAAATTGTTAAATCACTGTGAGGTGTAGGTTTTAAATAAAAACCTTGGGCTAATTCCATGAGTAACTACCTAGTTTTAAAAAGGAATCAAAATAAGCGATTAGTCTCTGGAGCTCTAAATTTGAGGGTACCTCTTAATTCATTTAAAAAGAGTGAAAATAAATTCAAAATCAATTATGTTTTCTTACTATAAAACTCATACACAAAGTTTTTTGAAAAATTTTTAAAATGAATTTTAACAACTTGACTCGTGATCCATCCAGATACAGGTGTTAATAACACTTGGTGTATGTCTCCTGTGCATGCCTGTGTGGTCTCTTTTTGGAGCAGGGACTGAGACAGGGTCTTGCATGCAGCTGGGCCAGCCCTCAGCTAACTCACTCACTGTCTGCCTCAGCCTCCCAAGGGCTTCGGCTCCAGGCCTGTGCCTCCACACCCAGCTTGTTTACATTCCTTTTTTTTTTTTTTTTTTTTGAGACAGGGCCTAGATATGTAGCTCACACTGGCCCTGAACTCTCGGCAACTCTTCTGCCTCTGCCAACCCAGTGCTGGGATCACAAGCATGCACCACCACACCTGGTCTTTTTTTTTTTTTT